GCATACACTGTTCAAGTAAAAAGCAGAGCATCCTGCTCCAACAGGAAGAACATGCCCCAGCTTTTGTTCCAGTTTGGGCTTTTTTTCATTTATATATTTTTATACCAGTTTGGAAAAACCAAGTATGACAAAGATCTTTTAAAGCCCCTTTTTGTGTGAACTGTCACCAGCACCAGAGGGAAACCTCAGGACAGAAACCCCCCAGCTGCTGGGTGAGCTTCCCAAGAAAGCCATTTCACCCAAATAAAACGGGGCTTCTCTACAGTTCCTCCGATGTGCCAAAGACAACCCTGTTCCTTGAATTTGTGGTACCCTGATGAAAAAAGATGCACGGCCTCCCGGAGCAGCTGGGACACCACCACATGGTGATGCTGGAGGGCAAAGACAAAAGGGGGCTGGAGAACAGTACATACTGTGAAGCCTCTGGCGTAAAACCAGGAGCAATGGCAGTGGAGCAGAGCCTGAGAAGGGACCAGGGCTCTCCGCAGAGCGAAGGCGGCCAGATTATTCACAAGTCACTTAGGAACAGCCACAGACTGGGCAAAAACAGACTAAAGAGAAAATAAGAAACCAGAAGCAAAGTCAAAGGACACTGGGTAGAACTGGAAGCCGGACCAGGCAATGTCACAGAGAGCTGGTGCTGGTGCTGCAGGCAAATGCCGGCCAGGGCAGGTCTTCTTCAAGGACAACCAGGGGCCCAGAAGAGAAACCCGCCAAGGAGGTGAGGAGTTAACATGCAAACTGGCCTTGCAATTGTGAATTTGCAGAGACAGAGCTGGTGCTGGACAAAATTGGGCTGTTCTCTTTCCCACCTAGAAGAGTCTTGACCTTATATGCCAATAAATCCTCAAGAACATGAATAGGGGTTTTTTCAGTGCGAGGAAGACTGCAATGCCAGCTGACCCAGAGCGAACAGGGACTTTGCATCTCTAGGAAGATCTGAGAGAGGAAGGGACCTAATGAATAAGAGGATTGTCTTTTATTAAGATTTAGGAAACATAATACAACATTTTCCAGGGGCAAAAGTGAGAAAGGTTTTAATACAAATCCTCTGAGTTGGATTCCTCTTTCCTTTACCCTATTCCCCTCCTCCTGATGGCTCTAGCAAAAGGCTCTCTATGGCAGAATGGGTAAGGGATGCCATAGCATCACACCGAAGACCATCACTCTCTGCCTCCAAAAGCTGCAGTCAGCAGCCTCACGGGCATGAGGTCCCTGCTCCTGCAGCCACTCCAGCCTGTTCCTGAAGAGGCACATAATATAATGTCTTTTTGTTATTTAAATAGATATTCATAGAGGCACAGAATGACAGAGGCTGAAGGAGAGGGAGGAGCAGGAGTGGGGACAGGAGCTCATCATCCGAGCCTCTCCCCAGCAACGCTCCGCCAGCCGAAGCCAGTGACACGACAAGGCTCATTTTCCTCCTTCACCTCCTTCACCGCTGAGCTGAGGCTCGAGCACAGATGAAAGCTTTCTGACTCATCCAGGGGCCTGGCAGCCCTGCCCTGGCAGCAGCTAGACACCCTCGTTAAAGGTGCCAGGATTACATCTGCCAGGATCCATACGTTGGGTGATGAGGCCAAAATGCATAAAAGGGAAAAATGAAAGAAAATGGTGCCTCCACCTGCAGATCTGAAGTTATTTCGGTGATATTTCAGCACTCAGAAATTATTTTCCTGCAGTGGTAAGATATATAGACAGGAGGTGTAGCAAAAAGGCTGTGCTCAAGGAGCTCGGGGTGCTCTGTGGCACCGGTGCCACACGCACCAAGTGGGGAGAAAGTGGAAGGCTAAGCTAAACCATACTTCAAGGAACCAAAGACTGTTCCTTGTGCAAAGGCACGACAGCCTAGAAGAAGCCAGAGGAAGGAGCTGGAAGCAGGATTTGAGTGTACGCTCTGGCAGCCGCATCTGCACAGGCTGAGAAGCGAGCAGGATGAGTGCCCAGAGGCACCAGGCTGCCTCGGTGCAACAGGAGGTGGGCTTGGCCAGAGACCACTCCATCACGGGGGAAAGAGCAAGGTTTCACCCCCGCTTTACAATATAACTGCAGCACGCCTGTAGAACAAAGAGGATTCAAATCTGTCCACGGCAGAAAGGGCTGACAAGCCACAAGGGCTGCAGCCTGCTGCTGCAAACAGGACTTGGCCCTTCCAGAAGTGGGGTAGGAAGATACCTGACTGTGCTGGAGACTTGCAGCAGTGGTAGTGGAAATTTGGGCGGTGGTGGAGAAGGACGGAGGAGCAGCTTGGGGAGGCCCCCGTACCAATTTTCTCTGCATCTAATTAGCAGTTTCTGGAGCCATCTCTGTGTTCAGTACAGAACAGCCAACAACTTTTGGCTTACGGCCTCCATAAAGCTATTTCCTACTGCTGAATGTCCTTCCAAGGATGATTTGCCTGCTGCACTGATGTTCCTCTTGGGGAAGCAAAGGAGAAGGACAGCAGCACCACCAAATAACCAGAGATGCTGGCTTCGCAATCCAGCTGGTTGCAGGGCAGTGTTCCCGAAGCCCCGCACACAGCGTGGTGCCACATCACGGAGCTGCAAGCAGGTGTCATTGAGATTGTAGCCAAGACCTCAAATCACGAGACTGACACATCTTCTTCTCAAACCACCATCCCCCTTCTAAACCTTCTCAACCTTCTCTTACAGAAGGGCATTATGCTGAAGGAGAAGGAAAAAAGTTGAGTTCCTGCCTGTAGAGCAAGGAGAGGCTGTGGGGAGCAGCTGGCTTCCCTGAAGGCCAGTGGGGAGCTGGGGCATCAGAAGGCAACAGCTCTGCAAGCTGTCGGGACACCACAGGCTTGAGGGAGACAGAGAGAGCAGGAGGTGGACACGGATGGCCCACAGGGCTGATTTAGATAGAGCAGCAGCAGGGAGATTAATGCACAACCTCAGCTGCCCCAAAAGCAACAGCAATCCGAGAAAGAAAAGGCTGAGTAGTTTGGGATGAACTCGTCGCTAGTCCACGCTCAGTCCTGTCCTGAAACCCCATCTCAAATAACTGCACCAGCCAAGCTGTGGAACAGCTGCTGCTACCTTGCAGACCTTGCTTACTGTTCCACCCGCAGGCCTTCCTTTGCTCCATTTCGTGTTTTATCCCCACCGGGACAAGCAGAACAGCCCCTTGCCGCTAACATTTTAGGAATGATGCAGTTGCCCAGACCCTCCAACCTTCCTTCTCCTGCAGGCCCAGCCGTGCCCGCCCAAAGGGAGTGGGTTCAGAGAAAAGAAGGTGGCACCATCCCAGCCCACAACTTTGACATTTCAAGTTTAGACACCGTAAAGCTATCAGGTTTTATTTGTTTAAAAGTGAGCCCCCAAGCCCAGCACCCCCCTGGGGCTCAGACCACGTCTCTTCCTGTTGCAAAGCCAGCTCAACGGGCTGTGCAATGTCATCTCCAACCTGCACCACAGACCCTCGACGCTGACAAGATTATCCTACGATGCCGAACATCCCCTGTGCAAACACAGTCTGGGACAACAGAATTTCTGTGCCTGCAGACGCGTCTCCTTCTCGGCGACGTTAGCTAACCCAACAAAGCGCTCTTCTCAGCATGGCTGTACCCGCTGCAGAGCTTTGGATAACAAAGCCACTCAGCTATAGGTATGCCTTTTTCTTACCCATGGCTATCACAATTATAGCAGCAAAAAAATAGTTACTCAGGTCACACACCTTAGGTTTGAGAAGCTGGGGGTGCCCAGACATCATTTCACTACATCAGTGGTTTTCAACCTGTCATCTGCAAACTCCATCTACAAGTTCCACCAAAGGCAACTAAGAGAAACAAGCCTTTAGCTCCAGGCAGCCTCTAGCTCCACTGGAGACTTTTAGGGATTCAAAACCAGATTGAAACACCACTGCATGGTGATCCAAACCCCTGAGACCTGCCCAGTGATCCCACCGCTGTGAGAGAAGTCAATATTTACTGGAGAAAATCAAAGGATGCTGGTTACTCCAGTAACCTGACACTAGAGACAAGCATGAACTATATTCACAGCAGCTAGAGCTGGGGCTGAGACATGTCTACCTGGCACGTGAGACCAGCAGGAGTGAACGTTTCCAGATCAGATCAGGGAATCTTCCAAAGAAGACAGAGAGAGTTGGAAAAGAAAGCAACACAGACTCCTACACAGCTCACTTCAACTCTTTCATGGGAGCCATGGGAGCACTTACAGATGATCTCATCAACAGAGTTAAAAGATGGATGTCATTAGCTAGCAGCCAGCAGCAAGCAAAGAAAAGGATGAGAGAGAGAGAGTGGCTGCTGCCCACCTCACCCAGCTCGATGGACAAGCAGCTCCTCAAAGATGCCCAGCGAGCAGCTCTGCTGCGGCAAGAAAAAGATTAGTCCGTATCGCCCAGCTGGGGAATGAGGCTGCATGTTGTTTCTGGTTTTAAGCTGAATTTTTGGGTAGCATAAGACAGAAAATGGGCAGCCCAGAAAACTGCTATACTTTCCATCTCCAGAGCAGGTCCAGCACGGTAAGCACAAAGCAAAGACACTCCATCATACATCAGCAAGAGCAAAACCCTCCCTAAAAGATGTCCACGCCATTCCAGCTCCTCCTGGTGAGGCTACACCATGGCACATGCTTACACAAAAAGCAAATTTTAAGTCACTACCTTATTTCACAAAGGATACCAAGAGCTATTAGATGTCAACTTGTGCCTACCACCAACCTAGGCTGTATCTGAACCAGTGACCCAGAGGTGAAAGGCCCATGCCCCATTATCAGTCTCCAGAGACATGTGGTCCCCTCAAAACAGCAAGTTCCTGATAGGCATTTGCAAAAGGGCACAAGCAATTATAAGAGCGTCACAAATCACTTGACAATATGCCCATTATATAACGCATTTTCAGCAAATAGCAGCCTTTACACTGGAAATAAATAGAAAAGAGCAGTAGATGGGTGCTAGATGGAAGAACATTAATTCTCCATCACATTTCATCCCTAATGGACTGAAGTACAAATGTAAGTATGGGCATCACCTACTTTAACTGCCATAATTTGCCCACTTGGTTTGTGGACCATTTTGTTGACAGAACCATAAGCGCCTCGTCCAATTTCTCCAAGGTCTTTCAAGTCCTCTGCTGTAAAATCCCAATGTTGTTCAGGGGAAATCTTCAATTTTCCTGATGATTCAATGCTGTGTGTTCTCAGTCTCTCTCTGTCAAAAATATTGGGAAGCAATTTTTCCACATTTTAAATAGTCTGTAAATGTCTCTTTTCAGCACTTGATTAAACATTAGAAGAGAGGGGTTCACAAAGGCTACAGCAACAATCTGACTCCATGAAGGATTTTGGTTGGGGTGGGGGGTGCAGGGGTGAGGGAAAATGTTAAATCAAAAATGACATACACTTGCCCACAGCTTCAATTAAGGATAAGTTTCTCCAGCTGCGGCATAAAATTCAATGTGTCTCATATAGTAGAGTCATTCTAATCACTCATTTATACAGTTCTTTCTATTTTGCACAAAATACATCAGGCTTCAAGCAGGATCTGGTAACATGCAGAACCGAGAGTCTGAAGAGCACTCCCCAGCCCCGTCTCCCCAGAGCTTCTGCTGCCCTACGCCACCTCGCTCCCAGCGACTCGCTCCCTTCTCGCTGGGTTTCTATGCAAAGCGGGCAAGGAATCAAGGGGACTTTAGAAAGAGTTTGCTCTTAACGGAAAACTGCAATTAATTTAAAAAAACAAAAACATTTTAGGTCATCATTTAATTTATTCAATACCAAATAAAGAGCCAATAATTCGTATTTATAAAAAACAAGACAAGTTGTATGTGACACATGAAAACAAAACCTGACTGTTCAAGTGTCTTTACCGAACACCTAAATGAATGTTCTCGGGCAAACGT